CTCTACTAGCTTTTCATGGTGTTGGTTATTGTAGAAATTTTTTCGTCACACACTATTTTACAAAAAAGTAGTGATTCAGTAACATGTATATTGAATCAACAAATGCCAATCAATAGACGAATATTCGTGAAAAAATAAATATTATAAATATCATTTCAGGATTGCTTCGACGAAGCACAATCACTTTCTCATAACCTTGAACATAACTTCCAAAAATAGGTGATTTTTACGACTTTAATATATGGTGTATACAAAATCATACTTAATATTACCTTCTCTTATATAACCTATGAAATAATTTTTATATTCACGTTGTCTCCTCCTTAGTACATACATTTCCACGTCGTCGCGTCGGTTTCATCTGCGATCGTGGACCTAGATTTTTGGGACCAATATGAAAAATCCTCAGACACAAAAAATTCGTGAGTGAACCTTCCAAATCAATCTAAACTTGCTTCAGTCGTTTACCCCGATGACTCACTTCGTTAATTCCAGGTATTTTTCACAAATAAAAATGCTTCATTCATTACTGTATTTCCGTATTCAATAATTCTGCCTACCAAAAAAGAGGTACGAAATTATACAGATACTTATCTCAGAATCCGAAAAATCTAAGAATATCCGCAGTTTTTCTCTCGCTGTAAACATTTTCTAGAGATGCCAAAGAAGTTTTGGAATGTGGAATATGTAGATGTTGACTGCCTTCTGGAACAAGGTGTTCTCTGATATTAGTCTTTCGCTTTTTGGCTGTTATCCATATTTTCCTTCGAAACGGGAAGCCAGGTCATTCTCTAAGAATTTCTGAGATTATACGCTGATTCTTCAAGTTCTTCATCAATCTTGTTTTGTTCCATTCAACTCGATGTTCACCCTCTGATCCAAAGTAAGTTCTGTTAATTGTCGATTTCTAATTTGATTTTGATGTTCATTGTCACGCACATTCAGTGGTCTTGAAGTTCTCATGAATGTAATTTTTTGTACTCTCTACTGTACTCTCTTCTTTGTGATCTCTCTACTCAGTATTCTCTACTGTTTTCTATATTATTTTGTATTTGTGAGTGAAGATATGAGTGTATTCATGATTTTGTAATATATCTAGTCACATTTTGTCTTATCTTTTCAGAAGAAATATTGTCAAATTCACATCTGGAAGTTACTATGTTAGTTTTCGAAATATTTAGAGACAGAGGATTTGAATCACACCTACTTTTTACTTTCATCATATCGAGGGATATGATTTCAGTTAAATCATTTGCATTGTCCGATTTCCAAAAAATGGTAGTATCGTCTGCAAATAGTGTGAATTTTTCTGTGATATTTATACTTGTCAAATCGTTAAGGTAGATGAGAAACAATGTTGATCCTAGTACTGCACCTTGAGGCACATCATTACCTATTTTTCTAATTTCTGAGCGATGGGTTGTTGCCACTATGTGACTACGACCTGACAAATATTAGCTGAACCAGCTCAGTATCACTCCTCTGAAGTCGTAGCAGTATTTCGTGATCCACATAGTCGAAAGCCTTCGAAAAATCGCAAAATACTGCAGAAGCAACCTCGCCACTATTGATTCCAGAATAAACTTTTTCATCATTAGTGCCTTTGCCAGTATGAAAGCCAAACTGTTCTTTATTGATGATTATATGTTTCGATAGAAATACAGTTATCCTTATCTTGACCAGTTTTTCTAGAAGTTTTCCTAATGTGGGAATTAGGGAAATAGGCCGATAATGCGAGGGTGCGTCCTGATTTCCACCTTTATAAAGTGGTATTATCAGGAAATAAGGTAACTTTCCTGATTGAAATGATACATTAATAATGTTGTTTAGGAGTTGTGATGTGTTATCTGGGAGATTTTTCAAAATGTTTGCTGTCCCAGGATATAAGGTAAAACGTTAATTTTGAAATGTATGGGTGGTTGTTGAGTCGGCAATCATCAAGTTGAGGATCATTGAATTTGGGATGCTGTTTGTAGGGTGATTTGGTTTTAGTATTCAAGGAACTTGACGAAAACGTTGACGAAAACTCTGATTTCGTCAACATAGAATCACTTTCGTTCTACACACCTTATATGAAAGAACTCAAATCTTTTCAAGAAATATTCTTAGGGCACTCTTAGAACGGCACCTATGCTGAAGTAGCTATCCACGTTAGATTCGAATCGCTGGAAATTTCATTCATTTGGAAAAACATTATCAGGAAGTTCATGGTGATGCCTTGCAGTTGATTCGTGAAATCACCAAATCATCAAATAGTATACATATTCAAAACAAAATGTATCTAGTGTAACAGACGAGTTTTCGTTTGGGAAAGAACTTTTTGGGGTGTTGTGATTGATGGACCGACCGATTGGAAACACCTAGTTTGAAAAATTGGCTTTGTTTCTTTTTCATCAGTAACTATGAAACAAAATAATATAAAATGAACGAGGTTTTACTCTCGATAAAAAATCGTTCAGTTATTCGATTAACTGTGTGACAGAAACGTCGGTGAAAGAGATTGAGTGTGACGAAATGGAAGAATTCAACTTACCTGCTGTGAGCGAATAACTGCTCTGACAGGAAAGAGGTGAAATTCCTGAATAACAATTTTAGTACTTCATTTCCTATTCTAGGTTGTACGTGATCCAGAATCTTGAGCGATTTATGTTTCGGAAAGTATAGCGGACTTTTATTGCCGCAGAAAAGTCTGTATGCGCCTTGAAAACTGAAGGACACATCTCTTGGAGGAGGTATACGAGTATATCTGGCATTATACTTTCCTTATTTAGAACAACCCCGTTTTCTCATATCTGAGGATTCAATTCATTGAAATCAGAGGAATGCTTTGTGTATAGTATGGAATTTTATTATATTTTGCGAAGTAATGATTTGAAACCCGTGTCAACATTTCTTTTTTTGAGGCATATGAAAACTGCAATTTTCTGTGTTCTTCAATTCATAATGATTATATTGACAACTGTCCAAATTTATTCATTTAGAATTCATTGAATATTGAATATTTTGAAAAAATTTTGCTGCTGATTTCAGGTTCATAAATCGATAGCGTCATAGTGGAGATTTTTGGAAATGAGAAATACCGCATATACAGAAACAGGCATATAAGGAAGTTTGCTAATATATGAAAAAGTATAATTTCAATTCAATTCTAGATTGAAATATTCAATAAAAAATCCCACTCGCATATCATATGACGATTTGTAACACTTGTACCATTTTGTAACGTTCAAACCTATAACTGGGTTGTGTGAAAAAAAATAATATTCGTTTCGTTTCGTGTTGTGTACCTCTAAAGTCAGTGACATAAATGTTTCCTCTTTTCAACAGATTAATTCTTCAAGCTATTTTATAAGTGAAGAAGTGAACGAATGAAATTGTTACTTTCGCACTTCTTTCAATGATGAATCATAATTGACACCATCATATTACGAATATTTCCTTTCGAATTATACATTGGTTCATAGCATGATCTTTGAAATATCAGTTGAAACACAATAGTTTCAAAATATGTCTCATTGATAATTGCTAGGAAGTTGAAGAATACTCATAATTGACATTTCCTGGAATATCTTCGGATAATATGATAGATTTTTCATTACACAAAAAACATCGTGAATAATTTGTTCATTTAATTGTTAAAACCATCAACAACACAAATATAACTTTTCGAAACCTATGTCATTATCTTGCATTATTCTTAAATAGTTTTTTTTTTAATTAATATCGTTTATTATGCTTAATAATTTATATAAATTACTAAGTGTTTTAGTTTGGAGCAACTTGAACAAAAACATTTTTATCAAATATTGGACTCAGTACCTCACATTCAGCTCCTTAATTTTCAACAAAAATGGTGTGAAATGTTCACCATATGGTATACAGCATATGAATCGCATGCAAGCATTTTGTATACTTTGTAACTTCTGCTTGTTATATTGCAGCAAAAAATTGTAATACACCGAACAACAATACTCGATATGTGGGTAAATAAGAGTTTTAACTAACCTGAGTTTCATTTCTTCTGATAACTGATACTTGAATTTATATAGCGATTTGAGTTTGAAAAGTGATATTTTGAAAATGTTTGTCACATGTTCATGAATAGACAAATATTTATCTATGATTACGCCAAGATTTTTAGCACTGTCTACCCAGTCAATGTCTGCGTTATCGAGAGTGAACCTAAAGTTTATGCATAAGGCCAAAGTTTTATTTGTATTGAATTTCAGTCCATGATTCTCCGAGTATAGGAATGTTTTGTGCAAATCTGTGTTTATATTGGCCACGCAACTTTCTGTATCGGTGTTATGAAAAAACAAATTTAACTGTTTAGCATCTGCGTATAGATGTATTCGACAATGTGATGAGAAAGAGGGGTATTCAAAAATGAACAATGAAAACATCAAGGGTCATAAAATACTTTCCTGCGGTACACCTGAGATTGTTTCTTTTAGGGATGACCATCAATAATCATCCAGTTTGACCCTCTGTGATCGGCCTGTGAGATAGCTGGTCATCCATTCAAGAGAAATGAACTTCAGCTTGCTGATGAATAAATCGAAATTAACTAAATCGAAAGCTTTGCTTTGATTAAGCTGCACTAAAATTGTGACTTTTGATTGATCTCTGAATCTCGATTACTTTCGAAAGGGCAGTCTGTGTTCCGTATTTTTTGCGGAACCCAGACTGCTCGTACGGGAGTATTCGATTTTCTTCAAGAAAAGCTCTTATTTGACGGAAAACATTTTTCTTGAATATTTTAGAGAATGAGATAGGGCATAGGTCACTGAACGGGATTGGAATTATATTAGTAACCTTTCAAACATCCGAAAAAATACCATGTCTGAAGGACTCGTTGAAAATCAATACAGTGTGGTATCACTGAAAGAATCATCTTGATATTTATATTGTCAATACCTGAAGCATTAGATTTAATTTCTTTGATAGCAGTCAAAATATCATCATCACATATATCGGCGAGGAAAAAGTTCATAGTAGCGTTCAATTTCAATGCAAACATATATTAACAACGAATAATTCCAGATAGTCACATAAACTGAATAATTAAATATCTTCTTGGTGGGCTACAACTTCGAATTCTCTACAAATCAGAAGCTTTCCATTTCTGATTAGTTCCATTTGATACCTTTTCGTTCTTAACATCTCATAAGGTAGGAATTCAACTGTGAATTTGGCTGTTGCTGCTTTGACCGTGTATATACCTTGAGACACCGGACAAATAGATTCCTTACTTCCAGATTCTGCATAGTCATAATCCTCATCTGTGCTCAAGTAGTTGTCAATTATTTTGCAGAAACTTGTTTGGTTGATGAAACTGCGAAGAGTACGTTTGGGATATTTTAGGTTACTTTTATCTAAAACGAAGGTTCCTATTAGAGCTTCGGAAAGTTACTAACAACAATTCTCTCGTCCAAACAATATATCATTTTGATGTGATAAAACGTCAAATCATATAGTTTTTACCTCTCTTACCTCTCAAATTCAATTTGACTAGATGATCAAACTCGGTCTCCAAAGAAATATTTCCACTTATTGTTTGTGAACTTTTGTCAACTTCAAATTGTAGATGTATGTCTTCATCTTCGAATCCAGGACATTTACTAATCGATATAATTTGAATATCAACAGGACCAGTGATCTACAATATTATTCAATCATTATAGGGGCACGTGGCTTTGCCTACGTGACAAAAGGGCGAGGTTTTATTATGTTGAGTTAACGAACCTTGGATGTACCCTAACATTAACTAAGATGGCTGGACAAATCATAAAAATTTCACATAAGTTCATCAATATAATCAAAAGTCTATTGTTAAAGTACCATCCAGCAGAAGACCTTTAACCTTTTTCTTGAAATTGAAGATTGACAAGTTTTTGAAATCATCAGGGATACAATTGTAGATTTTAGCGATGCCATAGGAGAAGCAAGATCGGTAAAGCGAAGTGTTGTGCATGGGTACAGATAATTTTTGTTGAAACCGGACATTTACATTGTGCGCTTCAGAATGCCTCTGAATTTTTGAGTAGAGATATGAAGGTTTTTTGTGAGTAAAATTTTGTGATATAATACACAGCAATGCAAAATACGTCGTTTGTTCATAGGCAACCAGCCCGGTCCAGTAATGTAACTTGAGGTCGGAGTCCGTCTTTTAATACCGCATATCAGTCGTGTGCAAGAGTTTTGGAGTCTTTGTAGGCGAATTTCATCAGAATTTTTGATAGCCAGCCCATAAACAACATTGCAGTAATTTAGCTGTGATGAGACGAGTGACTCGCATAGGGTGATTTTGCAAGCTTCATTTAGAATCTTTCTGTTGAAATAGATCAGTTTTAGATTTTCGAAAGCTTTTTTGATTATATGTGATATATGCGTGGAAAACGTGAGGGAGTCAACAAGAAACAGGCCTAAATTTTCTTCGCAATTTGACATTTCGAGTGTTTCATTGCGAATGTGAAGGGAAATCAGGGGTCGGGATCTATTTTTGGTCGATTTTCTACCGAAAAGTATAGCTTTGGATTTGCTTGGATAGATGGACAAACATAATTTTTCTGATATATCGACAAGTCTCGCGAGATCCTCGTTAACTTCAATGCAGGCAGCAACAATATCTTGTGATGTCTATGATGTCTATGTGATGTCACATGTTTCAAATGTTTACATAATTGAGAGGTGTGAATAGTGAAGAGTAGCGATCCCAATATTGATCCCTGACGTACACCACACAAGGTTTCGATGATGAAGAGTTCATTATAACTCTTTGTGTACGTTTATTGAGATGAACAGCAATAAGTTGCTGCGATGATGAAGAAAATCCTATATAGTGTAGAATAGCTAACAACAATTCATGATTGATCCTGTTGAAAGTTTTTGAGTAATCAAGAAGTACGAGAACGCTAAGCTTGTTCGCATCTATATATGAGAATATGTCATCCGTCACTTTGAGGAGAGCACTGGCGCGGCTATGATTTTGACGGAAACCTGACTGGTGGTGTGGAAGAACATTGTGCATCAGGACGTGTTCACGAATTTGTTCGTCGTCATGTGTTTTCGACAATGGGATGATATTTGATTGTTTCCAAACAGAAGGAAAAACAGAATTGATTATGCAGAAGTTAAAAATGTGGACGATGCATAGCAAAATCAGAGGACAGCAATACAGGATCATCATTAAGGAAATTTTGTCTGGGCCAGAGGCCGTGGATTTGATAGAAAGTAACTTTTCTTGAACCTTCAATTCGTCAATAGGAGAGAACGAGAGCTGTCTAATATTCTCCAAAGTATGATTGGAGAAATATTCGACGGTATGTTTGTCAGGGATATTCGAACTTGTACCAGAGATAAAGTTACTGTTCAGTACATTGAGATCACCAGTTGAACTGTCCGGAATGAGAGACCTCTTACTACTAGTAATAATGTTCAGATTTTTCAGTTCCTTCCACATGTTACTGCTAACGTGGGTAACGTTTGATTGCATAGTTTACCTCGTTACGCAAAGCTTTATAATATTCCCAATGGCGCTGCTCTCGAGATTTTTTAAATCTATCACATGCATTATCGCGTGTCCTCATCATCATTTCCAGAGTATTCGTGAGCCAAGGTGTCCTTTTTTTAGTGACTCTAGCGTATCGCATCGAAGCATGGATATCAAGTAAATTTAATATAATCTCACTGAACTGGACTGAGGGATCGCGTTTAATTTTGACGGTGCCTACAGAGCAAGATATTGAAGCGTGATCGGTGAAAGTCGAACAGTCAGTAACTTCAACAAACAGAAGATGAGTTTCGATATCTAGAATTCTTAAAGTACTTTCAAATGAACTATTGGTTTTAAAATTGAGAAGAGACTATGCTGGAGAGATACAACTGACTGAGAAACCTATGAATACAATGTGATTACAGTAGAAGGAATATTTGTTCAAATAAAATTGAGAAAATTAGGAGAATGATATTTTTCCAAAATTATTTGAAACGTTTGAATTAATTTGTATCCACTAATTGCTTCCGATAAATTATATCATTTCGTATTTCCATTGTCTAATATGAATATAAAAACGAATATAATTGAAACGACTAGCTGAAATATCAATTATATTCAACAATGAAATGTGAAATATAATTGGAAAATGAAAAAAATTAAAATAAGCCAAAAATGCATCGTTGGACAACATATATGCAGCTCAATGAACTTCCTCTTAAGCCAGTGTTTCTCCCTGAGGATCATTTCACATGGGACCACTAGATGTGATGTTGATAAATCCAAACATGCTCTGCTATTCCTGATTTGCTGGATTCTTCTCGCTGTGTGTTTTTTTATGCTCGACAATGCGCTTTTTCAATGGCATCTTAGGACTTGCCGCACTCACAGGGTATCCGATAAATGCAATTATTGCAGTCTACGTTTGATGGCCTGGTTTTCGTGAGGTTGATATGGATAGTGTTTATGGAACTGAAGCAGGTTCTGATGTTGTGCTGGTGATGTACTGCTTCAGATCCAGAAACACCATCCGTAGCAGCCTTACGAAAACCAGGCTATTAAAAGTGGTTTGCGATTCCAAGAAATTGCATTCACTGGATACTCTGAGTGCGGCAAATCCTCTATCGGTGAAACTAGGATGCCATTGAAAATTCGCATTGCCGAGCACAAAAGAACAACATCAAGTGATCCCATGCTTTGATCATCCACAGGGAGGAATACTGGTTCAAGAGAAAATTAAAAAAAGCCACATATATGTTGTCCAACGACGTTGGTTCTAGCTTCAACATATGGGAACCTGTAATCAAGCGATAACGGTCAATTCCCGTCAACCGGTTAACTTTCTCAAAACCGATGAAGCGAAATGACAAAAAAAAGAATAGGTGAAAGCGCACCTATAGAGAGTCATCTCTCAGAAGAATAGTCTAGTCATCACCCGAAGACGATTAAAGGATTAACAACCGAAACGTCGTTTATATATCAAATCATTTCAATACACATGTTTCTGAAACGGAGAAAATGTATTGAAAGATAGTTCAAGTGACATGATTGTACCTTGAAAGAATCTTTATTCTATCAGACAAACAAACAGTATCAATACCTCTAAAATTATACAGTCATCAATAACAATAATTTGGGACTTTCTGGCTGGATTGAGAATATCGACAGTTATGCAAGCCATATCAACAGTAACAATCAGAATAGTTTTGAATCTACCCACTTTATATCTTGTAATAAGGGAAACGGCAAGTGTAGGTCAAGTCGGACGGGTCAAAATACTGAAAAGGGTCGAAATATAAAATAAACTACGTGATCAATTGACATTATTTCCAGCAACTTGGTCAATTCATGTCCGTCTTTCAGACGAATGGATTCTACATTGCGCAAAAAATAATTGAATGAAATTAGCAGATCAAATTTATTGGAAAATAAAGTTTTTGGCCTTCTAATTGCTCCATCTTCATACAAAAAATGTGGAAATATTGCAAAGAAAGGAAGAAAGCAAATAATTTCAAAATAAACAATTCACAAAGATATGTAGATCATGCCAAGAAGTAGTTATTTCGAAAGAGCGCTGTCTTTCAGTTTGTATCTGAAATGTAATCATTTACATGATCCATACATTTTTGTTTATTTTGAAATTATTTAATTCCCTTCTTCCTTTGAAAGATTCCCAATTTTTTCGTTCAATGATGGATAAGTGGAAAGCCAAAACATTCCTTTCCCAAAAATAAATTATTCCAAATTTTAATTCAAATAGTTTGTTTTTATGGACAGTCAAGTTGTAATATCGATTATATTGGTGGACAGAAAGCGATTGCCTCTGAATTGGATGCAACTGATATGTATGCTAGACACAAATTTGAGTCCGTATCTGGGTCCTAATAAGCTAAGGCATACAAAACTATGAATACGGTAACTTCAAGTACATCTCCGATTCAGCTTTATATGCTGAAGAAGGTGTAACTACTTTTTCTCACACCGAATTGACAGTCAGGTTTTGAGCTCCCTCCTTTCCAGTCGAATAACTCTAAAGTGTTCAGTTTTTGAATTAGTGCTGACACTCTATCTCTCCTATCTCATTGAATTTTTTCCAATCATCTATTATATAATTTTTTTATTATCGAACACAATATTCAAATATTTTCTGTGCAAGTATTGAAAGATGTATTAGTTGTTTATTATACGGAAAAAAAAGTTGGAGCAATCGAAATGATGATTTCATTCAGTAACTCTTTTAGTGAATTTGACAAAGTTAAGTATTTAGTACTTTAATCATGTAACTGATATTAATACTCACATATACTCCACTGGAAATATAAGAAAATATTCCAAATATGATATTCAGTCTTATATACAGAGAACCTGTCGGAAGTGGAGGACACTTGCAGCACATTTTCACGAATCCGTGAACAATGAATAAAGTTCCATAAATTAATATCAGCCAGGATGAATCCGCGACTGATTGTTTCCGTCTGATATGAAATATTCATGGCTGAAGTACATTCGAGGCAGCAATCATTGGGTTGTGGAACACCGTATTATTGAAATCGTATTCCAGGACAAAAACTAATGGTAAAATCATGCAAAACGAATTCGTGTCTACAGCCGTCCGATGAAATTCCTTTTGATTTCTGACTGCTATCCACCTTAAAAAAATCTGTTTGAAATCTGCATTTCCGTTAATCAGCTTTTTAGCAGATTGTTTTTAAGTGGAGAGCTATCTACCTACGTAGGGGGTAGATATTCAGTACTATCAATTTTCTAGAAAGTGTATTTGGGCTGAAATAGATTACCAACACTCAGGGGACATTGAAATAATGAATTCAACAACATTCAATTTTCTTGTAATATGCCATAAGCAAATAGATACAGCGTATCAGAATTTAAATTTCTGTGGCTTACTTCTTTACTAAGGAATACCAGATTGTGAGTGACTCACCAGGAGAAACAGTTGAACATTTCCTAGAATTAATTAATTGAGTGAACACTGCCCTAACGGAAACAAGAACAAAAACGAGTTTTCTCAAAATTGCAGCTTTGCAGAGACCTAAAGCGATTTCCAAAATATTTCCTCAAAAGTGATCTTTCCCAAATTTACAGCGGTATGATAGTAAATATAGAAAAAATATTTCAAAACTATTATCACCTTTTGAAAAACCTACTCCAGAATTCAGTGCATCACAAATGCAATCTATTTATTCCTGGAAAACTTTGACTTGAAGATTTTATTGAATCGGTTGTTTTTTCTCAATCCGTCTTGATACAATAATTACGTTTTCTTGATTATTTTAATATTCATACATGAATTACGTACCTACTGATATTGGTCTGAATTGTTCACGAAACAATGAATAATTCTTTAGTTTTCGTTTTCTAAAATCAATTACTTCAAATTGTAACTTCGAGTTATCTTAACTTATGCTTTTCTAACATAATTGAATAATATCATATTTGAAAAATACTTGATTGTGAAATTTCCACTGAAAACTGAACCGCTACACAGCAGCTTTCTCAAGCGTTTTCATAGTTCGGAAACATTTGAGCAAGCTAGCACTCTTGTAATCGTTAACTGTCCAGTAAAAATCTCTCAATGAAGTATTTTTCAGATTATTCGGAAGTTTCCATCAAGTATCAGCTAATTCCATCACATATAGAACATTATTAATGATAGAAATCACATAATTTCCTACTATGAATTTATTTCAAGAGGCGCTACACCACACAATGGTTCCGTCAATTAAACTTAGGAATCACACGTTAAAAGGTAAGACCTCGTTAATCCTTAGCTCGCACAAGTTTCGACTTCTGAGGGTTGTCGTTCGTAAAACGGATTTTTTTTTTTTAACTTTTTTAAATAAACCTTTACCATATTTATGTCAATAAACATTCATTCATTCGTTGTCATTTGTGCTTTTTGATTCATTATTCAGTTGAGTTCGATGTGTATTTTTACAAAATAACCATTGCACTTTTTGTGTCCTATTGGATTCCATAGACATTGATTGTGACCCACATCTCTCAATCTTAGTTTGTTAATTTTTTTTCTGATACTTTGTATCTCTTAAAAAAATATTCATTCTATAAAAAAACAATATAGGCAATTTTATAGTAGTCAGGCTGACGTTACTGTTGTCAAAACTGATAATACAAATGGAGACATATTTTGAACTTTCTTCTCATCTTTTAAATTCAACAAGAAATCCACTCGGAAGGTGATCTTGCAAAATTGAAAATATTGCTAATCCGTGCTTTTTCCTTCTTTTTTTCTGGCGATACACCCGGAGCTGAAAACTACATTTCGAATATCGTCTAGCTTTGTTTGTCAAGAAAAACTACACCAGACCTACACGCTTGTATTAGCCTGAGGGTGAGAAATGAATCATCATTATTATCATCGAAGGGTTAGCTAATCGGGCTATGTTCCCAAAGCTTGATACATTCGGAAAGGCGTGTCAACATCATTAACCAATAGCCACATCCCCACCGTGAGGTAAGTGATCATTGGGTCAAAAAATCATGTCCCCTAATCAGAATGTCAGCATTTTGTATTTGTCCGGCGAAGATTTCTGCCTCAGTGCGCCAAGCCAGCATGATATTGAGATTCAAGACTATCGAGTCCATAATTCCACCAAGGACTTCATTATTCAGAAGAACCATCTCAACAGTTCGATCTGGATATAGTCTACGGAGCTGAAAACCCCACGATTGATATAGTGTTACTCTTATGATCGAGAAGATCTACACCAGCTTACTCATACAGATTCATAAAGCCTATTAACATATATGAACTTGAATGGAAAATGGATAGTATCAAAAAATTTGGCACTTCTCATTTCCTACAACGAATTCAATAACTCTCAAAGCATAGGCCATAACGGGTGTTCCGGGTGATTCGACTGAGACCGCATATACTGGACCAGCTGGCAGCAAGTGTATTGGTGTCTCACATTTCTTGCAACAGTCTTTGCACCTGATATCAGGAACCTCTACACTTCATCACGCGACTGCGGTGGACTGAGGTTTTGAAGACACCATCCTGAAAGGCTATGATGTATCCCCCAGTTTTCTACTCGACCTTAAGATGGCACAGGTTAAGTGCTTTGAAGAGAAATGCTACGATTACTGCACGCTCTTGGTCGCGGACAATGCAGAGAAAATGATCCAAACTCTTGATGACTTTACAGGCTCCTTGAAATACCATTCTGTCATGTAGATACTCGAAAGTCGAAAGTCTATGCCTTCCTTCTTGTCGATGATAGTACAATCGTAAAAAAGGCGATTTGGGATGCAAACTTCTGTAGAGATACATAATTTTTTGGGTCTTTACTCGGGTCGAGCCGATTGCAAGCATTACGTTATGAAGGCATACTTGGAATAACGCAATCGAGAAACATGGAGAATCAAGAGCTGTTGCGCTTGATATTTCTAAGGCCTTTGACCCGTGTGTGGCATGAGGCTTTGCTGGTCAAATTTTGTTGCTATGGCTTGTCGAATTATTTCTGGGTATGGGTCTCCAGCTTCCTGAAAAAACGTTCCCTGCAAGTGGCCGTCGATGGATATCTCTCGAATACTTTCACCATCAACGCTGGTTTTCCCCAGGGATCCATGTTGTCTTCAACCCTCTATTTATTGTATACCAACGACTCATTGGACGAAATCAATATTCCTGTATATTGCTTTGCTATCGACAGCACTCCTGTCTCGACATTCCATTTGAATTCCAGGACATCGGCACATCTTCACCGGCAGCAGGAGATTGCATATCTTGATGAGGATCTTGAAGTGACTTCGAATTGGGGTGGAAGTAACCAGGTTCAATTTAATGCCACATAAACCCCGGCATCGGTTTTCTCCAAGAAGATAAATGTCTCCGAACCGGATATAATAATGTCAGGTCAGACAATTCTTCTCTCTGCTTCGATAAGTCTGTTGGGGGTTGAATTTGACACCAACATGTCTTGGCACAATCATGTCGTTGGAATTGCAAAGGCTGCTTCTCAAAAGCTTGGACAATGTTCCGAACCAGAAAACTATACACACCTCGGCAACTTTTGGTGCTTTACAAAGCTCAGATCAAACCTTCTTTGGAGTATTGTTCTGATGTATGGAGCTCTACCCCCAAACGTACCCTGGAGTTGCTGCATTCCATCCAGAAAAGAGCCATCCGCCTGTTTGGAGACGCGAACATCACGTGCAACCTTGATAGCCTGGAACATCGAAGAAAGGTTGGTGACTTTAAATCCAATGTAAATCGCTAGTTTCGCACAGGCACCGTTCTGAGAGCGCCTTAAGGATTTTACTGTAGTGCTTGTGTTTTGTCCTTACAAAAATATTTATAGTCAACATATTTCGGAAAAGAGAAATATCGTTATCAGTTATTCGAAGTTAAAGTCATAATTTCAATGCTATATTTTTTACCTCCAACTGATGGGAGATATTGTTACTTGAAGATCATCATGAAGATATATTTTTTCTATTGAAATGATTCAGATTTTGAATATTTCAATCAACGACTCAAAATTCATAATTTCATTCTTTCTCGTACACTTTTATGATTTTTTTTTCAACCCACTATCAATATTCCGTCACGCTTTACCCATTCTAATGAGAACTATGGCAAATTATATCTTGATTGAGGAAATCGTAAATAGCCTACGCTCATGAATTTGTGATACTAGTACATCGAAAACCACAATTCCATGAGTTATGAAATAAGGTCTATTAGCCATTCCATATTTCAATCCGTCCAATGTAATATTGAAAATCAGATATAGCCGTTAAATTCTATTGAAACCATCAATATAGACCATCATATTCGAATGTATGAACATGTTTCCTCTTTTAAATCGCTTCGTTCATTAAAACTAGATTAGTTTTACTCCAGTGGATGTAACAATATTGCGTTTGGTAGAGAATGACTGAAAAATTAACTGATGGATCATGAACCCGATAACTTAATTCAGAAGTTACAAGTTTGTGTCGTAATGATAATATTATGTCCATTCATCATCCATCATGAATCGTCCATTGATAATGAAAATAATAATATAGTAAGTGTAAGTAATATAAAAAAGAAATGGCAGCAAAAGTAATTCAAAACATGAATTAGTCACAGAAGTAACTGAATATCTTAAACAATAATTCGATGTATGAAATAATACAATTCATAAAAAATCGGTCGGTAGCGGGTCGGTTCGACGTGGGTGCTTTGTCTACCCACTCGAATCGACCACCGTGTTGGTAGGTGGTTCAAGCCCCAGGCTGAACGATCGAGTTTCACTTGCTATCTTCCAACCCGTGTTAGGAATCACACATTAAAAGGTAAGATATCGTTAGTTCTTAGCTCGCACAAGTTTCGACTTCTGAGGGTTGTCGTTCGTAGGGGTGTGACAGCTGACTAACGGAAAAACATATTCTAAACAGATTTAATCCTTGAGAGCTTTAAAACTCATTCA